CCTTGAAAATAGAGAGTATTTTTAGAGAATGCTCGTGCCCATATTTTTTTATGAAAACAATTGATAAATTGATTTGACGGGATGAGGTAGCAGTTTGGTAAAGACCTTGTGATCCAATTGTCATGCTCACGGGTTCGACGCCAGGCGGGGGGAACTGCCAATTCTTGTCACTAAATGCGGTACTGGGTGTTGGGCCTTGTCCCCAATCCAGGTAAAGCCCTCCCGGGTGAAGTGGACCGCTGCCTGATCGGGCCCAGAGGAATGATCCACGTAAGTGGGGAACCTCTAGATTATCAAAAAAAAAAAGAAAAAAAAAAGAAAATAAATTGATTTGTTTAGAAAATCTCTAAAATATTATTTGAGAAGTCAGTTTCCTACGTGTCGCGCTCACGTTAACTCTCACGATAGTTGATAACATAGATACCCTTAATGAACTAAAATATTAAATAAGAATGATATTAATAATGTATTTCCTTTTTTATGATAACTTTTTACTTATTTTTTTAGTTTAAGTTTACTTTTTTAAACACACATAAATAAAAAAAGGAAATGTTTATGAAATATAAATCTGTATAAAAACGAAATTTAATATTTTTTGAAATTTTCCTAAAATAACATTTTTACTGTTTATTTAAGAGATATTAAAAAGGAAACTAAAAATGTTTTTTTTACAAAAATAAATATTTTGATCAAATAATTTCAAAATCCTTTTAAATAGCGTAGCACTATACACTATTAATGAAATGGAAATATTATATTTTATCATTTTTAAAAATACTTTTAAATATTTAGTTTGCTTTTAAATTTTATGTTTTTTATGTTTATAGAACTTAATATATAAATAATCAAAATATTCAAGTAAATCTAAGTTCTCATTTTTAAAATTGTTTAAAATACGTTTCAGTTTACCTTTTAAAAAATCTAAGGCATAAAATAATTTAGAACTTATAAATATTTAATTATTATAAATATTAATATGTGCTCATGAAATTTCAAAAGTTTATCTTTATACTCATATTTATGTATGTAAATTCCTATTGAGCGTCACTTTATTTTTTAATATTTCTTAAAAAGCAACATATATCCAATTATTAAAAATATTATAAAATACTTGCATTAATTAGAATATTCTATTAAATAATTTCAAAATCCTTTTAAATAGCGTAGCACTATACACTATTAATGAAATGGAAATATTATATTTTATCATTTTTAAAAATTATTTTAAATATTTAGTTTGCTTTTAAATTTTATGTTTTTTTATGTTTATGGAACTTAATATATAAATAATCAAAATATTCAAGTAAATCTAAGTTCTCATTTTTAAAATTGTTTAAAATACGTTTCAGTTTACCTTTTAAAAAATCTAAGGCATAAAATAATTTAGAACTTATAAATATTTAATTATTATAAATATTAATATGTGCTCATGAAATTCAAAAGTTTATCTTTATACTCATATTTATGTATGTAAATTCCTATTGAGCGTCACTTTATTTTTTAATATTTCTTAAAAAGCAACAGATATCCAATTATTAAAAATATTATAAAATACTTGCATTAATTAGAATAAAAAATAATTATATTTTCATTTGAATTAGAAAAATATATATAAGTCAATATACTCACAAAACGAGTAACTGAACAAATCTAACTTATATCAAAAATAAAAGATCTAACTACAACAAGAACATATAATTTTAGAATAATTATTTATTTATTTTTATACATATAGATTACAGGATGACTCACAAATATCAATATAGAAAAACAAATTATTGACCAACTGTTATAATTCAGTTTTTTTTGTAAAATTTATATATATGAATGAGACTTCAGAATATTATCGTGATATTCATTTATGTAATTTTGAGTCAAAATTTCAGTTTAATTTTAATTTCATTATAAGAATAATATATATTAAATTATACACAATCTTACTAAAAAATATTTACATATATAAGATAATAACCAATCTAAATGCAATAATAATCAAAGTTTTAGTATATTTAGAAGAAAAATATTATAGTCGAATTCAGAAAAAATAAATGAAATCTAAAATACACAAGTGTAACCAAATAGACTATTGACCAAAAAAATAACCAAACCGATTAAATATAAAATCTCCTAAATCGTATGTCTAATTAAAATAATATAATACTACTAATATAAGTTATGCATATAAATTTATAATTAAAAGTAAATATCTATGTAAATTAATAAATTAAAATATATTAAAATATATATTTACTTGATAAATATTCAAACCCGTGCATGGCACGGGAAAATCACCTAGTGATTCAGTATATATTGAGTCATAGGTCCACAGCCCACAAAGGTATTCAAGCCAACCCATTACTTGTTAGTCATTATCCGCTGCGTTTTGAACTTCTTTTTTTTTTTTGCCATCAATGTGTGCAAAAATGAATCGGATTGGTTTAGAGAGGCTGGTTCGTGCTCGTCGAAACTGAGACTTGAAAGGAAAGAGCTCCTCTCTCTAGTCTAGACACATTGAATCAGGCCATCCCCATACCATACTCTGAATCTACAAAACTCTTTAACCTCACTGGGTAATGGGTTTGTAGTAGTAGCCGTCACTTCTCCTCTTCCTCTCCAGATCCCAACTCTAAACTTTCACCTCCTCTTCTTCCCTCACCATTAGAGTTTCCAAAAAAAGAAAGCTAGATGGAAGGAAGACGGATTACAGCCAACCCAAGACCTTGCAGTGGAAGAAGAGTCGTCGCTAAAAAGAGACCTCGCTCCGATGGGTTCGTCAACAGCGTCAAAAAGCTCCAACGAAGAGAAATCTCTTCTCGTAAAGATCGAGCTTTCTCCATCAGCACCGCTCAGGAGAGGTTCCGCAACATGCGTCTCGTTGTAAAGTCTCAATCTTTTTTCTATTTGCCCTAATTTCTCATAAACCCTAGAAATTTTGAATCGATTTTGATTTTTTTTAGGAGCAATACGATACTCACGACCCCAAGGGACATTGTTCAGTTGCATTACCGTTTCTGATGAAACGAACTAAAGTGATTGAGATTGTTGCTGCCAGAGACATTGTCTTTGCGCTTGCTCACTCTGGTGTCTGTGCTGCTTTCAGTAGAGGTAATAATACTACTTTGCGACTGTTTAAAGCTTTCACCTTTGAGACACGAATTTACATTATGTTTTTTTTTTCTTTTATTTTGCAGAGACGAATAGACGGATATGTTTTCTGAATGTGAGTCCTGATGAAGTCATACGGAGCTTGTTCTACAATAAGAACAATGATTCTCTCATCACTGTTTCTGTTTATGCTTCAGACAACTTCAGCTCTTTGAAATGCAGATCCACTAGGATTGAGTATGTTTGTCTTCTCCCTTATCAGTGTCTTTATCTTTCTGGTTGTATGCGGACTAATGTGTCTTTTCGTGATGTTCAACTTACTAGGTATATTCTGAGAGGTCAGCCAGATGCAGGGTTTGCTCTTTTTGAGTCTGAGTCATTGAAGTGGCCTGGTTTTGTAGAGTTTGATGATGTCAATGGGAAGGTGCTTACGTATTCTGCACAGGACAGGTTAGTTTCTGATCTTGGCTACACAAATTTTTATGTGATTATAAGTTTCTTCATCTGAGCTTAATAGCTGTTTCTGCAGTGTATACAAGGTTTTTGATTTGAAAAACTATACCATGCTATATTCGATATCAGATAAGCATGTTCAAGAAATTAAAATCAGGTAACCTTTCTCAATTTGTCTTTAACTCTTTAGCCCTTCTTACTATTCTCTGTCCACTAGGTTAGACTGAAAGATTCGAGGCTTAGCTATGTTTACCTGTAACTCTTGTATTCTTTTACTGCATCAGTCCAGGGATAATGTTATTAATCTTCAAGAGAGCTACAAGTCACGTTCCTTTGAAGATTCTATCGATAGAAGATGGCACAGTTCTCAAGTCCTTCAATCATTTGCTTCACCGAAACAAGAAAGTCGATTTCATTGAACAATTTAATGAGAAACTTCTTGTTAAGCAAGAGAATGAAAATCTCCAAATTCTTGACGTAAGTTGTGATATTTATCAATCTCTTTAGAGTCTGTTTTTTTCTTACGGAGTTTTGTTTTCTTACTTGTAAACTCAGGTTAGAAACGCTGAACTAATGGAAGTTAGTAGAGCTGAGTTCATGACACCCTCTGCGTTCATATTTTTGTATGAGAACCAGCTTTTTCTAACATTCAGGAACCGAAACGTATCTGTGTGGAACTTCCGCGGAGAGCTCGTGACTTCCTTCGAGGATCATCTTTTATGGCATCCGGACTGTAACACAAACAATATCTACATAACAAGTGATCAAGATCTGATCATCTCATACTGCAAAGCAGATACAGAAGATCAGTGGATAGAAGGAAATGGTAAAATACAATAATCTCATCTTAAATACACCCTTTTTACCAACGAGTCTCACTGATTGGTATATAAAATGGTGCAGCGGGATCAATCAATATCAGTAATATATTGACTGGGAAATGCTTAGCTAAGATAACACCAAGCAGTGCACCTCCAAAAGAAGATGAGAGCAGTAGCAGCAGTTCTTTGGGGAATAACTCAAAGCAAAGAAGAAACGCTGTAGCTGAAGCTTTAGAGGACATAACGGCTCTATTCTATGACGAAGAACGCAATGAGATATACACAGGAAACAGACACGGCTTTGTTCATGTGTGGTCCAGTTGATTCCACATCATATCATCTATCGTTAGCCACTACTATCTTCTACTGTATTATTGGGTCTTCTTCAGTTGTGTGTAGTGATCAATCTCTTTAACTTAGTGTCTTTTGAGCAGTCATTTGTGTTTGTGTCAACTACTGTGGGCAGTGTGTGTTGTGAGTCGGAAAGCCTAATGTGTACACTTAGCATCATTGTAAACATTTGGGGTTTGTCAGAATCTATGTAAGACCCTTTATTACACTTCAAGAAAACTCTATCCAAAACAATATCTACATAGCACTACATCTTATTTCTACTATCTTGGACTGTGTGTATCTTTATTTGCCTTGGGGCTTTCAGTGAAAAGTCCAAAAAAAAGGGTAAAAGCCTTTTGTTCGAAAAAAGAAGAAGGATAAAAGCCTTTGCTAATGGAAACTAAGGTTTTCATGCTTTGACATTTATCAGAAAACTCTTGAACAATATAGCATGTAGACGGTGAATGAATACAATTGCAATTAACTTTCACATTGCAACACTTTTTGGATAGCTGAGAATTCGTCTCCATCATCAGTTTCTTTTGGATCTTCATCATTTTTTCTCTTTTCACCAACATCAGACATAACCTCCATCCCTTTCTTTACTCTCTCTAGCTCCTTGTCTTTCTCTTCCAATTTATCTTGCAATATTATCACCTGAAAATATCATCATCACCATCATCATAAGCTTTGTCTCTTTCCAACAAAACCAATTCAGATAAAAACACAGGATCAATACCGTTTCATTTGATCTCTCAACATCATTAGTTAGTTCTTCCATGTGTTTGTACAGTCCTACCATTTCACAAAAATATTCTCAATCCATATCCCATCTGTATACTTTTTTTGCGAAACCTAATATAGTAATATCAACATACGACTTACCTTCAAACTGCTTTCTGAGTTCCGCGTTTTGAGACTTCTGCATTGAAAGCTTCATCGCTAGTTCATGAATCTATCATCCAGCAGTATACATAGAAAACCATCATTAATTTCTCACGCTTTTCCAGAGAATGGTTTCTCTATAATCTAAAGAAAAAATCACAAAATGAAGAATTAGAACAGTACAAGCTACATTACCTTTCCTTCAGCAGCTTGGTGACCAATCTCCTCGTTTTCCTCTTGTAGGGTTTTGCACTTTTCCATAAGCATCTTGCCCTTTAAACTCAGAGGGGTAAAAGTAAATGCTGTAAGACTATCCTGGAGTTCCTTGACCTTCTTGTCCTTTTCCTCGATTAGATTCTGTTGTACAACATAAACAAGAAACATGAAGTAGAATTTCATATTTGTACTCATCATCCTTCATTATAACTAATAGAAAAAATAGAGCTGTGTGATTTTAACTGACTATGTGTATCTACAGCCTAGAGAGAAAAACAACAAATTCAATTTGTACCATAAATCTCCATATGAAGACAGTGCCAGCTAAGTATTTAAGGACACATCTTTTATAACTCAAATAAAACTTTGTTTAGTTTAGAATTGTCTATTGAATTATCTTACAACCAAATAGATTCTTCTAAGGGTCGATAGTAATCGACGGTAGAAAAAGAGTAGGTCACACACCTTCAAACGTGAAAATTCTTCATGAATTGCTGGATCTAGTAACAGCCTCCTGGCCTACATTAGTTTAAACCAGAATAATTTAACCACAATGTTATCTGATCATGACAGCTGCTAGATGACTAGCAATTATAAACAATTAGATGCAAGAAAAAAGCGCACAATAAACATGCGCTTATCATCGTATTCAGACTAGAGAAAACTGAGCAAACATGCGGTTTTCAACAACTAGCTTTCATGATTTGTTTTGCCGGCCCTATTGTGTATAAAATTATAATCATTTGGGAGAAATGTATACCTGCATTGACGCCGGCTTGAGCTGAGATTTCAAATCGCGAACAGCAGACTGAAAATAAAAAATTCAAGACCATTTAGTAACGTTTTCTTTGAAAAAAAACATGGAACAGGAAATGAGGGAATCAGACACGAAAGCATGTGGTGGGTAAATGAGTTCCTTAAGGTTTTACCTTCAATTCTGCCATTTCCTGTTCCCGTTTGGCATATTGTACAATGTATGAAGCTTCTTTTCTCTTTGCAATTTCCAACTGAAATGAGAAAATAGACCATCAGAACCTGTGAAGACATGAACTGATAAAAAGTAGACAAAGGTTTATTACTCAATACCGACCTGTTCTTTCAAAGATCTCTCAGAAGATTTTATATTTTGGATGTAGTCAATCAAAAATCTAGGCTCTGACAGAACAGAAAAAAAAAAAAAAAACAGAATCATTAGAGGTTGTCAAGGATTAGCATCACATATACATACGGTGCAAGCCAACATTGCAATGGAGGAGGCTAACCAGGAGATTTTCCAGCTGGTACGAAAGACTCGTTCTGAAACGCTGATTTCCACTTGAGGATCTCTGCGTTTGCTGATTCAAGCTCATTCTGACCAAAAAGATGATTGTTAGATACAAAAAAAAAAAAGAGAAGTTAAATAGTGAAAAGAACAGTAGATAAATAAAAAGATAAGAGATCATTAATAGCAATACCTGAGAAGAAGCAAGATCATCTTTACAGTTCTGAAGACTGCCAAAGATAAAGCGCAAAAGTCAAGGTTAGGACTACTAAACATTATATCCTTTTTCCAACAAAAAATGAGATAAGACGGCATTGGATTAAAGAAACCTCTCTCGGAGTGAAAGAATCATGCCAGTGGCAACACCCGGAGCAGTTTCCTCCGCTTTCGTACGACCCTGTATGGTCACAAAACAGCAGATTTTATAACCAAACCGAACTATAGTGTTAGGAAATGAGACGGAGAGAACTTAAAATGGTGATCAGTACTTTACAGTTATAAAGGCCACGAACTTGGTTATCAATGAAACGAGGATAGTATATACATTCATAGCAATCGATATTCTATATAGCAAAATCACGAGGCAGTATATACATTCAGGAGCAATCTCATCACTGATATTCAGGAAGAATGGAATTATAAGGAATCCAAAAGGTGTTAATGTTGTTACGATGGGTACCTTTTTGGATCCGAAGATATCATCTTCATCGTCTTCAAGATCACCGAAGCTTCTTTTACTACCTACAAACAATACGCATGGATGAATAATTACAAGGGAAAAAAATCAATTCACCGTAAACCATCGTGAATTAATTAATGTGAGACCTGAAGCTCTGGTGGCATTAGTAGCGGAGAAATCACCGTCAAAGTCGTCGTCTTGTAAGGAAAACTCCATTAGCGAGATGTTAAGAGTGACGGAGAGGTCGAATCGGACGGATACGGAAGTCGAGAATTTTAGGGGTTTGTTTTATTTGTTTGTGCTCGTGGGGGAAGGAGAGTGGATCTGGGTCGACCCGGTCACGCTCTGGACACGTTTTTTTTCTTCCAAATTTTGCAGTTTTTTTTTTTTTGTTATTTAAAGCAAAACAAATAAATTAACATTGACGATAAACCGAAAAATACTACTATAAATTAATACATTATTCTAATTTTAATTGAAATATTTTAATATTTAAAAAAACTAATAAATAATAATTTAAGATGATATTTAAACATACAGTTCTATTAATATTATAACGTAATAATTCATATATAATTCTTGTTGTGAATTTTTTTAATGGTTCAATTTATATTATATTTTCAGATTTAAATGAAACAATTATAATGTTTTAGCCATTTCTTTTTTGCATATTGTTAAAATGAGTTTCTAATAAATTTATCAGGATATTTTGTAATTAATCTCTATAAATTTATCAGGATATTTTGTAATTAATCTCTATAAATTAATCTAAACATCTACTCTATTATTCTTTTTATCTACTGATACAAGTTGTCATTTAAATTTGGACTCTTCCTAGAATGTTACAAATAATATAAGTCATATAATTGATTGAACCGTATTACTTAAATTAAACCAATAAAATTAATGTAAAAAGACGACCTTAATGTAAACTACCTTCAAAATACGACAGATATCTATGTATATACCAAAAACACATATTTTCTCCTACAAATATGTAATGTTCTAAAAGAATATATATCATCAAAATATGGAATATGGAAATCTACTAATTATACTTAAATTAAACCAATGGTTATTTATGAAATATAGTTTTGGGCTTACTTTTATTTTTTGAACAAATTATATAGTTTGGTTTTTGCGCTTAGTATTAAGAAAAAACTCCAAAAACATTGAATAAAATTTTCACCTTAAAAGATCAAAAATCAATTATTATTTTCAGACCCAAAAGGTATTTAATATTTTAACTAAACAAAATTATCCATTATTAATCATTTATTTAAATCATGTACTTTAAAACATGTTAATATATTTTTTATTTTAAATAACAATCACTTTGTTTTGATGAATTTCAATGGTAACTTTTAAATAATTTATTGTTTTATTTTTCTTAAATAATTTACTGATTAAAAAATGTAAAGCAAAACAAAAAACCAAATCTAAAAACTAAAATCCAAAACCAAAAGCTGAAAACAAATATTATATTTTTTTGCTTTGTTTATTTACAAAATAAACTATTTCAATTCTTTTTAAAAATTTGTTTTCATCTTTTCAGTTTTAAATTAGATGTTCGATTATTTGAGATTTGTTTGTTGGTAATATTTGTTCAAACTAACTAAGCGGGTTTAAAAATTAAAAACTCAAACTAAAAACTGAAAATGAAAAGTAGAAACTTAAAAACTAAAAACCAAAATCTAAAAATAAAAACTGAAACTAAAAACTAATGAGAAACAATCATCACCACAAATTTTGGTGAACTGATTTTATATCAAAATATTATTTAAATTATGACAAAACCCAATTATATAAATTTTTAATCATAAAAGATTTCCGCGCTTTTTAAGCGCGGGTTAAAATCTAGTTATTATTATTATATAGAGCTTTTTACTGTATCGACTTCACATCTGGTTTGAGGGAGTTGTTCGTTTAAGTTCGATTTCGTGTCCATGATTTGGTAGCATAACATTAAACTGTTTTCAGTTAATCCGTGGTTACAGATAATTATTATGTTTTCTTCGATAACATTTAGTTCAAACTAAAACTAAAATGCGAGAATATCTCGATTACTTGTGCACATCAACATTCTCAAGTGCGGCCGTAAGAACCAAGCTTTGGGATTTTTGTAGTGCCACTGCCAGCATGTTCTTAAGTAACTCGAACTCCTTGGCTTGCGTGGCCTGCGCTTCCTCCAGTGCATCCACCCTCACCCCCTGAACCTCTCTCAACTGTGCGATCTCCATATTTGCTGCCCGCAACTCATTCTTCACAAAAATCGAAACAGCTGTATATTAAAGTGTATATATTAAGTAAAATCAGAACAAAGATGATTTTACAGTTGATTACCTCGAGATATGCGATACGTGAGGGACCAGCGTGAGTCGATCCTTGCTGCTCTGGATCCTCATCTGTCTGCAACCAGAGACCAAGGGAAAAAGGTTTACAAGGAGAAAGTTTCCCTCAAAAGAACACTATAGCATACGACAAGTATGTATGGCTAGAAAAGTTCAAGTTGCTTCAACAACTAGCTTTGTGTAACTTGCATCATAATGATAAAACATTTAGGGGTGGGGATTGCATACCTTCATTGACTCTGGCTTGAGTTGAGATTTGAGATCACGGATAGCTAACTACAGACACAAATCCAAACATTATCTTTAGCGACGATAATTGTTTCCATGTAATGGCTAAGAAAACAATGAGAGCGTGGAAACATGCGGTAAGGAGATATGATTCCATGAGACTTTTACCTTCATTTGTGCAATTTCCAACTGAGATGAGAGAGAAGCAACCATTAGAAATTGTTTTGGACATAAAGACCTTATAGTAAATTATTAGCCCAGTGCTAACCTCTTCTTTCAGAGACTTCTCGGAAGATCTTAGAGTTTGGATGTAGTCAATCACAAATCCAGGTTCTGAAAGAAAACAAAGGCAAACAGAATCATTGTAGTAACTATCAAAACGGTTAAGCACTGAATGTAGAAGGCTAACCAGGAGATTTCCTAGCAGGTACAAAGGACTCTTTCTTGAAAGCTGAGTTCCACTTATCAATCTCTGTTTTTGCTGATTCAAGCTCACTCTGACCAAAACAAAATAAGTCAGACAACAACAACAACAAAACACTAATGTAGTAAAGAAATAAAATAAAAACAGAATAAAAGAATAAAAACAATACTTGGCATGAAGCAAGCTTATCTTCACAGTTCTGAAGACTGTCATTAAAAGAAAGCAAAAGCAGGTTAGATTTTATACATCAAAGCAAACACTCTGCTTCACTCACACCCAAAAAAAAAAAGCATCAAGAAAGGTAAATTGGATACAAAACCTCTCTTTGAGTGACACAATCATTGCAGCTGCTGCAACACCTTCTTCATCCCCTTTCGTGCAAATGCAGCACTGACAAAAGAAACGAGTTTCTCACTAAACAGTACACTTGCAAGTTACACAGTAAATGCTAAAATGTACGGAAACAGTACATGCAGAAAATCATCCATCATTGGTCAAGAAAAAAAAACTAAAATTGAGTTTATAGAATCTAGGGTTTTGATTACAAAAGGCTACCTTCTTTGAGTTGGAGATACTGTTTTCATCATCTTCGAAACTTCTTTTACTACCTATAAGTTAACATACGGATGAAGAATGAGAAAAACAAAATTAAAACTCCAATCTACCCAAAAGAATGGCAACAATGTGACCTGAAGGTTTGGTTGCATTTGAAGCGGAATGATTGTCTTCCATTAGAGAAAGTTCACCAAAGTGAAAACCTGAGATCTCCTGATGGTGAGTGAGTGACCAGAGGCGGCAGCGGAGAACGACGTGAATTTGGGAGTTGTAGGTTTTTTTTTGGGGGG